TATTTCAAGCGGATATGCCTTTGCAATTTTAGTCATAGATTTATTAATAAATGGTCTATCTTTTTTCCAACGCGGCATTTTTAATTCTGGGATGGGTCTTATAATGGTCGTATCCATGTTTATTTTAGTTGTTGCATTGTAAATTGCTTGTTTAAAAATGTTATTTTCTATATTTCTAAGTCCGTTTCTTTCTGATTCTTCTGAAAATAAATATGGAGTTAATGGGTGGTAGGAAGATGCTTTCAATTTGGCAATGTATTTCAGAGATAGGTATTCTCGTCTCAAGTTTAAGGATGTTTCTCCAGATTCAACGTAGATGCTGTCGATTGGAGAAGTTCGAAACGCTCCAGTGCATATTCTTAGGGCTGAATTGTGTATAGAATCTAACATCCTCAATATTGTTTTGTTGGTTGTACTATATATCTGCGCTCCATAGTCTATTTTGCTGCGTATTATAGACTGGTATATTTTTATTAGAGTGCATCTATCGGCACCCCAGCTAGAGTGTGAGAGACATTTAAGAATTCCGAGTCTTTTTGTGCATTCTTCCCTCAAATATGTAATATGTTGTATCCAATTCAGTCTCTTATCAACTATCATTCCTAGATACTTGTGACTTTCTGTATATTCAATTGAGGAACCTTCTATAAATATTTGTGGATTATTCTGCTGACACTTTCGACTTCTACAAATGTGTAAACATTTAGACTTCGAAGATGATATCTTAAATCCAGTTTCCCTTGTCCAATCTTTTACTCTATCCATCACTTCTTGCAGCCTCCACTGTATATAGGGAATAGATTTGCTTTTGGCTGTGATAACAATATCATCGGCAAATAGGAAACATTTGGTCGGGGTCTTGATAATGGACCCTATACTATTAATCGCAAGAAGGAATAGGGTCGAACTAAGAGGAGATCCTTGTGGGGTACCCCTTTGTAAGCGATGGTTTGACGAGAAAGTATTTCCTACCCTTACTGAAAATTCCCTATTGGTTAGAAAATTTTTAATGTAATACCACATATTTCCTCCTATTCCTAGTTCCTCCAAAATCTTCAACACACGTCCTCTTTCCATTGTGTCATAAGCTTTTTCAAGGTCCAGAAATATTGATATTAAGTGTTCTCCGTGTGAAAAAGCTTCCTGCGCTTCTAAGCTTAATGATAAAAGAGAATCAATAGTTGAACGATTTGGCCTAAAGCCAAATTGGTATGGATAAAGGACATTCTTACATTCCAGCATACTAGTCAATCTTATATTGACCATCCTTTCTTGAATTTTGGAAACGCATGAGATAAGGGAAATGGGTCGATAGTCCTTGGGAACGGTGCTCTTTTCTTTTTTTGGTATCGGTACTATGACAGATTTCCTCCACTTAGTTGGAAATGTTCTGCTTGTCCAAATTTCGTTATATATATTTAAAAGATATATTTTCCCTGCTTCTGGTATGAACTCTCCTGGAATTTCATCGAGACCAGGAGCTGATTTTCCTTTGCACTTATTAAGCGAAGACTTTAGTTCATCTAGTCGAAATGGTCTATTGTATTCAGCAGAGTGGCTCTGCCCTGAAATGTAATTTTGATGCATTTCATGATCATTTATCGCGTCATCGCTACAGCTTGAGGAAGATATTTCTCTGAAATATTTTCCAAAGGCTTCAGCAATGTCCTGTGGATCCGTTATGATCTGTTCGTCAATATTAAGTCCTGAAATTAAGTTTTGCTTCCTAATTCCTCTGATGGCCTTGATCTTGTTCCATATCTCATTCGTCGGGGTAAGGTAGTTTATGGAAGAAACATATTGTTTCCACGATGCTCTCTTGCTTTCTTTGATTATTCTGTTTGCAATAGATCGCAGTCTCTTGAACTCGATTGCATTTTCAACAGTTCTACTTCTTCTGTATCGATTTAGGGCTCGTTTCTTTGCTCTTATAGCTTCATTGCAATTGTGATTCCACCACGGTACATCATGAGGTTTCATATTATTTTTGACTGTAGGAATAGTTTCTTTTGCTGTGTTAATAATTAACTCGTTAAAATAAAATATTTTCTCTTCTAAATTCTGTCCATATGGTATGGTTCGTAAGCCTTGGATAATCGATTTTTTATAACCTTCCCAATTTGCTTTTTCATATTTCCATCTGGTGTTCGATGGCATAATAATACTGTTTCCCCATGTTTCAATTATAATTGGGAAGTGATCGCTTCCGTACAAATGGCTTTTAGTACTCCAATTTTTTACTTTAGGTGAGTATCTTGCATCAGAGAAACTTAAATCTATTGCGGAGAAATTATTATTTTTTGAGCTGAAATGAGTGTTATCCCCTGAGTTTAGAAGTACTGTTGAAGTGTTGTTTTCAAGGAATTTTGTGATATTTCTACCTCTGTGATTATAATCTGGAAGCTTCGAACCCCATAAGGTGCTGTGGGCATTGAAGTCTCCTAGCATTAGAAAAGGTCTTGGAAGCTGGTTTACAATTCCCTCTATGTCTGTATCGGTGAATTCCTGTGAAGATGGTAAGTATATATTGCAGATTGTCAAAGGTTCGTTTAAGTGTATCTTGACAGCTTGTGCTTCAAATTGAGTTTGTAGTGGTAGTTCTTCGCAATAGATGTTCTCTAAGATAAACATGGCTACTCCTCCCCACGTTCTTTCAGACAGTCTATCTTTTCTGAATATTTTGTAATTTTGCAATTTTACTATTTGCTTATCGTTAAGGTGTGTTTCTTGTAAGCAACAACAAATAGGGTTTTCTTCAGTCATTAGTTTTCTAAAGTACTCGATGTGTCGGTAGTAACCATTACAATTCCATTGAACGGTTTTTACCATGTTTGAGTTTTTCTCTTTTAAAGACTCTGTTGCCTGTTAATATCTTCGAAAATTTCTCACCTGGTGTGATCTCGGTGAGGTCATTTCCGTTCAGTAGTTTCAACATTTTTGTTGCCCATATTTTTATACCTCTATGATCTACGAATCCCTTAATGTCTGTTAGCATCCTAATTAACCCTTCTTTATCCTTTGTGAATTGTTTTATCAAATCAGGTGTGTTTGATGACAATTTTTCTATCTGAATTGTTTCGTATAATAGGCAAATTTCTTTAAATTGAAGAGGGTAATTGTTTTTCATTAATAAGTCACGGATTGGTTCTAGTATATCTTTTGTGGTCGGTTTTGTTTTTTGCTGTAAGTTATTTTTTTCTTCAATTATTTTTTCCTTTTTATTTAAATCAGTTATTTTTTTCTCTGGTGTATTAAGAATGGTCTTTTTGTCTGTAGTAATGTTTTGTAGAGTGTTTTTTCCTTTTGTGGTTTTCATTGTTGCCGATGAGCCATTTATACTTTCTATTGGCTTAATATTGTTGCTATTGTTATTTTTTTCAATTAACGTTGTGGGAATTTCTTTTTCTGTAATTCTGTTAGTAGGTAACTCACTATTTTGATTAACCGTGTTGGTTTTTATAATTTCAGTTTCGGTTGAAAGTTTGGTTTGATTGTTAGGAGTCATTAGTGGACGGGTTTGTAAACATGGTTCATCGTCTATATCGTCCGAGTCAGGGCAATTTGCAGCGAAGTGTCCCGGTTTTCTACAGATGTAACAAATTAAGATATCTTCCGCTAAGAAGATTCTGTGAGAAAGACCTTCATTTTGGACTACAATTGATGTTTTTAGGTGACTGATATCTTCAGGATTAATAAAGATTTGTCGCCTAAAGCTCATGATGTTACTTGTTTTGGGGTCCTGGTATCCTGCCCTTAAAAATGACATTGGTGAAAGTAGTTTGATTCCCATTCTATTGAGTTCGTTTTCTATTACGTAATTTGGAATGCTAGGGCAAACATTTGATATTATAATACGTTTTGCTGAATTTACTAATCTACGAATTGCAATTATATGTTCGTCTATCACAACTTCTCTATGTTTGGATAGTAATTTATCTACCTGCTCTTTGTTCGACAAGTGAATGCAAAACCTATTATTGGATATACGTGAGGCAAATTTAATTGCATTTGGTTCTACTAAGTCTGCAATTTTTGCAACATATTCTTTCTGTTTATTTCCCTTAATTGTTTGTAACACAATGGCATACTCACGGCTTGACGGTTTTTGATTTGACATGACCTGAGCATAAGTTGGGTGGCTTGTTTGTTTTTCCAGTTCTTGGGTCATTATTCTTTCATTACTTTCTTCAGTGGTGTTTCTATCTCTTTCCAAGGTTTCGTTAACTTCTGCAGCTACACACTGTTGTGTACCCCCTCCCTCCTTCATTTTTGCCGAGCTGCGCTCAGTAAACGCAAACTCGGTTTATCTCTATCAAATCGATTCCAGTGAAGGTTTTTATTACAGGTATGGCTATGATCCAGCCAACTGTAAAACAAAATGTCCCTTCTTTATGCTGATTACTCGAAAATCAGCAATTCAGTTATGTGAAACTATTTTAAAACTTTTCTATAAAAATAGGTTCCAGCTGTTCTCAAGTGTATATTTACATTGTGTGTTTTGTTCATTTTGTATATAGCATGTCCACTTAATGTTTTATTTGCTTTTTTAATTATTTAAAAAAAAAATTTTTTTATTGTTTTATATCTTAGACCAGAAGTAATCTCTTATCTTTGTATGATGTCGTTATTCTCAAGCAACTTTTTCCTATAATAAAGCTATTTTCTATTCTATTCTATATACTGATAAACATTTATAGCTGATGACTAATTCATTGCACATAAGCTATCTAATGTGAGTCGCAATTATGGCATACTAGTATCTAATAAATAAATAACTGGCTATAGGATTACTAGGGTATACTAGTATCTAATAAATAACTGTTCCATTAATACAGGAATAATATCAAACTAAACTCATGATAATAACTATTGTTTATAAAGAGGCGAAGGATGGAGAAATAGTTGAAAATAATCAATGACTGGAGAAGTGAGCTGGAGTCACATGACCCCTAAGGTAAATACAGGCCCCGAGGCTCATCAAGTGCGAGGGAGAGGAGTGGATGAGTTGTGCACACAGTACACTCCTATTGGCCGCCGATAACTCACAATTAGTTGAGATTTACCGTTCTCAACTCGCCCTATCACCCTTTGACACAACTCACAATCAGGATAATCAACTCAGCCCTTCCTTAAAATTGGCCATTGGTTTTATATATTACCTATAGATTTTCAAACGTTAATGTTGAAGTAATGTCGCTTCGAAGGAGTAATGTTTACTATTTTTAAGGCAATCGTTTTACATGCCATTAGCCAGGACAAAAAAATCTATATTTTTTTGAGAAAAAATCGCATGAAGAAATAAGAACGTATGTGAGATTGAGATTGCACTTTTTGGTACTGGTTCACATAAATTCCGCACGGATTACGCGTGGTTCACAATCATTTCGGTCACACTTGTTTATGAAGTTCCGAATTTATCCGAAAAAGATCAAAGGCGACCAATCTCTTGAGTCAGTTACTAATAACTTTAAAGTTATTAAAGTTCTTTTATACCCTTAACTATGTACAGTTTCACAGCAGGAACTTATTTATTATGAGCTGACTTTTATCTTTCGAGTGTATTAACTTTCCCATTATAAATATGTTTATAATTCTGTATGTATTGTCAATTAAATAATATTTCCCAGTGTTCAATAATCTTATTAAATGATTAGATTACTACTTAAAGTTACAACGCCATAAACTTGATGCGTAATCTCAAATTAGACAGTATTTTCATAAAAAGGGAGTGCTTTGGGAGTGACTAGGAAGTAGTGAACCCTCATATCGAAGAATTAGAAAAATATACATAAATTAAATAGACTTCCACTTACGCACGCGCAAACATATTTTTTTTAAGTACGCCAATATTTCAGAAACGGCTAGTAAGATTCGTCTCAAAGTTAGAAAAAAGATATTTATTGATAAACAAATAACGCAGTATCAAATTCATTGAAATCTTCCTCCTAATTTCTCTTATATGCATAAACGTATTTTCCTTGATACGTCTATATCTCTAAAATCTCACCCTTTTTTTGGCTCAAATTTGGAGGAAAGTTAAGGGCTGGTTAACAGTTAATTAAGTGAATATCAATCTATATATTTCTATCCACTACTCAAAAAAAAAAAAAAAAAAAAAAAACTTCCGCTCTCGGAACAGTAAATGTATTATTTGAAATGCCTATAGTCTGAAAACGGTTGGTTCAATTTGACTCAAACTTGGAGGAAATTTGGAGAACATTATAGAAATTGGATATTATCAATTTCATTGAATTCCATTTAATGATTAAAATTAATATAAATAACTGTTAACAATATAATGGTTGTGAAATATGGAAGGCATTGATCATGTGGCTAGGTTATTACAATATTTTTCTGGGGTTAAAACAGTTTAGGTTTTATTCAAAAAATTAATTTATACTGTATGGAGACGGTACACGTAAGGGGGTCTGGCCCAAAGACTATTAATTGAAACAGTTACTAATTTATATTTCTTTAAATACATAACAATTACACTTTAATCAGTGTTCACGTCAAATGTAAACAGGAACAATTACTGAGATCGCTAAGATTGTCCATTCATTTCGCAGCTTGTTTATTAACATTGACTAGTGTTTCGTTTGACATGAAAGTAGAATCAGCGGTTTCCCTTTCAACCACTGCAAAAACTATCCCTGGTCACGGAACTGTCTCGTTACAGTTTTTTTCTTCTTACTATGAGTTGATATAGTGAATATTCGTTTCAAAAATGACCAGAACGAGACCTTACATTAGCCTTTACTGGTATCAACTAAGTCTTATAACAGTTTGTGTTGTTTTAATATAAGTAAATTATTTTTGAAATAGAGATTTTGGTAGCATATTTGACACACATAAAAAAAACTCGGCCATGTATGGTCAGTATACGTTCAGGAGATGTTGATTATCGTTTGTCTGAATTATTAAACTTATAGTTTATAATTATAATTTCTATATTTATTTTCTAGGAGAAGTCAAAGCCAATCATGCTAGAGCGTTGCCCCCTAGAGTCCTGCGGCGCCGCGCAGTAGGACGAGTAAGGGAAATCCCGCGACGTCGGATAAATCTATTTATTTCTTTTTACACCTCCAAAAACTAGATAAACTATTTTATTGATACCTTTTAGAATTCGTGAGAGTATTTTCAGTTAGCAGAATATATATTTTTCACTGTTTTCATTGAATAGTTTAATTGAAAAACAAAATATATTTAGCCGATGTCGCGAGTTTTCCCTTACTTGTCCCACTGTGCGCCGGTTCGAATCCGGTCCAGGCTGGTTGAAATATTTCAACGTCGATCCAACGGAATGAATCTCGAGTTTCCTAATCGGGTTAGAATAGGTTTGATTGTACATTTAGAATACTAACACAGGTTAGGTCATGTGGCAATTATAATATTAAATTAACCTTTAATAATACTTATTACAATTTCAAGCCAAAAGAAATTTCCTCATTCCATTAACATGACCAGGGCGAATTATTTGGAATTATTCAAAACTGAAAATAAAGTCTTCCTCAAGAACTTGTTTTATTACACGAGGCAATGGCTCAGATTGAGGTCCTTCATTTTCAATGAATAAAGACATACATATATTTTTCCAAAACTATGAAGTTTATTTACTGTGTATTTATTATTCATGCATGAAACATATTTATATGCATATCATGTTTTATTGTATCATTTGCTATTTACTATTAACATGTTTATATATTATATACTGTATACTATGCCTGTATTTATCTTTATTACTAGTGTTATTTATTACTATTTGTCATTTTATTGCTCACTATATTCAGATGTGTTATTTTAATTATTGTATTATATGGGGTTTTATATTATTTCATTGTTTATATTTTGGCATACAGTCAGATGCTTGGTTGTTATCAGGTCACTGCATCCTACTGAATTTTACTTTGTATAAGTAAGTTGTAAAAGTTTTTCATATTAATTTGTTCATTGTTATCATTATAGCCAACTCTATTTGTATAGGGCATTCCTCGAATACAAATAAATAAAATTAAAAACACATTTAGAACGATTCCCTCCCCTCCCTGTATGCCAGAAATGGTGAGTTTGCGGATATTCAAAAAAAAAAATATGGGTATTGGTCATCTAAGTCTATTTTTTTGACACTCTCGAATTGTTTCGGGATTTCCTCAATAGTGTGCTCAAAGTGATCTTGAACGTTTTTAAACCAGCAGCCATCTTGGTACAGTGATCGAGGATGAGAACCATAACCAGGATAGAAAATTGAAAAGGCAAGAAGACAACCCAAATCTAGAACATGGCATTAATTGTTTTGATCTTTGGTTTGGCTGAGAGCCGTTTATAAACCCACGGCGTCCATAAACAGACCATTGAATAACAAACAAAGGCATCAATGAAACCAAATTAAACTGAACTAACAACAAATAGTTCCAACCATTGGGGCCGATCACATTTAGCCCCTATTTACTTCAGTAGATTTAATAGAACACATCTGGATCTATAGATCCAACGTGTCATCCAATAATAACCATTTCGTTTATTTATTTATAAAGTTTCCTTAACACGCAATACTTCACCTGTTTCTGAATGGGGTTCATTAATTTTCCAGGATTCCTTACTACTCGTTGTAAATTACAAAATGAGGTGTATATTGCTGAAGTTTGCATGTCCATGCTTTCAGTGGCCTTTATTCATTTATAGCTCATTTGATGAAAAAGGGACAAAAATAGTAGCACTTATCTATTATTTTAAAATTCATTGATTTACTCCTTGCATTCGAAGAATTGAAAGTTCTACGTAGAATTACAGGACCTATACTGGACCAGAACCTTGACGCATGGCGGAGAAAGAACAATAAAGAACTGCTGAAAGAAACGGGTCAGTCAATATCTCATGACATTAAGGCAACGAGGTTAAGATGGGCAGAGTATGTAGCTCGTAGCAATCCATCAGGATGCCTTTGCAAGACAATAAATGCCAGAGTAGTAGGCAAGGTAAAAAAAATAAGAGAGAAACAAAAAAAAAAGGCTGAGGTGGAGAAGGCTGGTTCAGGCGGCCAAAGATCTACAAGGTCTGTAGAGCCAACCGGAAAACAAAAATTCTCAAAACATAATTTTCAATGAAAATAGGATGGTACGCGGATGTTGTGCGATGCACCGCACCAAACCTTTAACTTTTTTCCAGTTTTGATGAAATATTTAGTAAATTTTATTTTAATATCTAATAAGAGATATTAATCGCCCTAAAACCTCTGCTCTACCTGCATCTAATAAGAGATTAATTAGAATACAATCATGTTTAACTGAAAATAGTCATTTATTAATATCATGAACAATATTTTTTACCAATCTTGATATTTGTACCCCACTCCTTTTTTTTTCAGTGCCGTTACTTGAAAGTATTGGTTATACTATGCATCTCTTTTACTTTTCTAACCGATCCTAATCAAAGCAATGAACAAAAAAAAAACTGTTTGAAATATTTTGTCATTTACCTGCTCCTTAATAGTTGTTTATTTTTTTTCCAATCATATGTAGAATTTGAGCGTTTAAATTAGTAACTTTGCAAAATCAGTTTGTTGCTTCGTTATAATTTTCTTCATTAGATTTCTTTTTTATTTCTCGTTCCCTCCCCCTCGGCCTAGGGTTCGTTAAGACCCCGAGGCATGGACCTGGACGGACCCCACAATGTGCTAGTGGAGGGAGGGTGAGGTTAGAAGAGAAGAAGAGGTTAATGAGGCCCTCTTCCAGAAGAGTAGCCTGGAACCCTGTCACTATTAGCCTCATGCGGTCTAATTAGTGCCATGTCTTCCTCAGCCGCTGCACCAGTCGTCACTATTTATATAATTAATTCTTAGCAATTTTTCATAATAATTAATAAATTTATTCTAATTACAATAATTATTGGTTTTCAGAATATTTTAATAATTATTGTAAAATGGTCTAAATCACTTTTTAAAATAGATCATTACTGTTGTTCAATAGTTTTTGATATAACTAGCTATTAATGTATTATAAATCGTAGAAAAATGTAATGGAGGGGAAAAATAAATTAGAATTTTATTTTATGGATAAGATTTACTTGATGTATTTATGTAATACAGTTGTAAATGTCATAAAGAAATAAAAAAAAAAAAAAACTTTGAGCCAAATCGAATGTGCGGTTTTTAAGATATAGACGTATCATGATCAAGGTACCCAATTAAATTAAAGTTCTTTCCGCTGTCAATAGAAATTCATTAATAATCCTTAAAATATTACTTCAACTATAATGATAAGTATAAGGCAACTAGTATAAAATAGGACAATTCCGTACCCCATGTATATTTTGTTTGTCAAGCTATATGAAAATAAAGTCTAAGTTTCCAATAAAAACATTTACTTAACATTCAATTATATAATAGTACATCAATTATTAATTATCAGTTGTTCGTCACTTTCCATTATGTTCTACGACTTGGTATGTTAATATAATTGGACATTATATCTAATTGCAGATAATTATAAAATATAAATGAAGTAATCGAATTATATATATCATCGGTTTGTCAAAGTTGAAAATTATTGTAAAATAAATTTGCTCAAGTTACAGAATGTTATATTAACAAGTATCTATTACCTTCTATCCTAGATGCAGAAATTCGTATTCTACTAAGGTAAATCTTACTCATTTTTTTCAAATTGTTAATTATAACATTTTGTTATAGTTTATAGTGAGTCATTTCTTGCTACTGCTCACCACGATAATCTTTAAATAATCAAAGACAAACCCACTTATTGGTCGAATGCCAGCAGTATGCACATATAAGAAAAAAACTGAAGATGAGTTCCAATATATGAGAAGTCCTAGAAGACTCTGGTGTCCAATGTCTTATAAAATTCCTGAAAGATATTAAGTTTTACCACCGAGTGTAGAAATATATGAAATGCCAATGATCCTTTTTTTACCACAAAAAAAATAAATATTAAAATTACGATTATTTATAAGAAATTTATCTAATAAGAAGAAAGATGAGTAATTCCATGATAATTCAACAAGTAATGTGATATTCACGTTTTTAATTTTTTTTTTTTTTGCTACCGAAGGTAGGGAAGCTTTGTAATCTTACGGGAGTTGGTGAAAAAATGTGCTCAGATTCGAAAAATTCCATTGGCGTTTTATCTTTTAGACATCAAGGATCAAATTTGGTTCGGCATCTGTCCTTCTATCTGTAGTAAAATCGATGTAACGGGCATTTCACCAACTATTGTTTACTCGTTTTTCATATTTCAATTTTGAGGGAATATGCGGATTGGTGTCTAGATGGTCCCATATCAATTTCATCAAATTCCATCCAACAGTTCCGCTTAAACACGCGCAAATGTATTTCCCTAAATAGGCCAATATTTCAGAAACGGCACGTTCGATTTGACCCAAAGTTGGAAGAAAGGTATGTGTTGGTAATAAAATAATGCTGCACTTTATATAATGCTGTATCACTTTCATTGCATTTCGTCAACTGCTTTTTCTTTTAAACATGCAAAAACGTATTTTTCGTGATACGTCTATATCTCAAAAACCGCACATTCGATTTGGCTCAAAGTCGAAGGGAAGTTATGGATTGGCAAACAAATGATCAAAAAGATATAAATTTCAGAAAATTCCATCTCCTACTTTTAGAAAATACTTTCGAACTGAAAACATATGGTTTTTAACACGCCTATATTTTGAAAACGGCTCGTTCGATTAGACCAGAAATTGAAGGAAATACGGAGAATAGTGTGGAAATCCCCTAGTGTCAATTTCATTGAGTTTTATTCAATAATTAAAATCAATGTAAATAACTTTTAAAAATATAATGACTGTGAAATGTGGAAGGCGTTGATAATGTGAAAGGGAAGTTATGTTCATAGTATTGTTTTATGAGGTTATAAAATTTTAGACTGCATAAAAAAAATTTAATTTAAACTGGATACTTTAACGTTAATTTAACATATTACTGATATGACACGTATTGTCGTTAAAAAAATTTCATGTAATTTTAGTGATTGTGATGGATGAAACTTAGATGGCCCAATATAGATTTTGCCGAATTCCTTCACCAGCTTTCCCTTAGTCCCTTAGTCATGCGATTTTTTTTTACTATATGTACCGTATTGTAATTATAAACTTAAATTTTGTACTGACTGTAAGAAATAACGTCATATTTGTGAGTTTCTTTGTCCCTTTTAAAGTTCAACCAACTGGTTCTGATCTCGATTTTCCTCTCAAACTTCAAAGTGGTAAGGGATTTTATTTCAAATCTTTTTGAAATAGTTATAATTGAAGGGTAGGTTGTAAGCCTCGGACAAGTTTTGAATATGTGTAGGCCTTCGTTTCCTGTATTTTGTTAACTTTATTCATATTGTTATATTTCTTCTTGAATGACTTTTGTTCTAACTGATAACAAATGTCGGTGAATTTGGTAAAGAAAATATGCTGACTTATTTGGCAGATATTTTTTTTATTTGTCTTAGATGTACTCTAAATGCAAACTTCTCTTAATTGGCACCCAAAAATGGCATGTTTTACAATCTATGTTGAGGCTAACGACATGGGGTTGGTATTATTTTAAAGAATTTTCCATGCTTTTTCCTGTGAAATTTCTAGATTACATATGTTAAGATGTCTGAACATTTTTTAAAATCCCATTAAATACAATTTAGATAGTACACATTTTAAACTTTATTCCTTAATCTTAACGTTTTTACTGTGATCTAACTTCTTAAATAAATTTAAAACATAAATATCTACTTAAACGAATTGAATAATATACAACGTGGAATTTTCAATAATCCTAAATACACCAGCCTGGTTATTTCAGTAACGGTTCGGATGTTTGATATCCATTAACACGTTCATTGTTTAATGCAGCATCCGATAATGAAATGAGGGGCATTGAGGGCAAACCGAATGAACACATCGCGTATCGATTGACACAGCACCTCGCTTATGTAGATGATTCCATTTGTCAGCGCGAATAGGTTCGGCGTTGAATGGAATGGCTTCACAAGATTGGAAGTGGTCATTATGGAGGCTCCATCTCACCGTCACTCAGCAAATTAGTTTCAAACAAAAATACCCTGGGAAAGCGGAAACCGACAAAGTTGTTCAAATGTAACTGTGAAATCGCGGTTCCTGTGGTATTAATGTGTCCAACATTGAATCCCAACAATTAGTCGGTTGAATAATGAACGAGGTTAAGACATGAGCGCTACTCACGCAACTTTTTATAAACGCTTAATATATTATCGTGAAAAATTTTGAGTGAACGACCCCTCTGTGTTTAACTCCTGAAAGGTTATTAGCAAGGTTTAGATTTTTACACAATTGCATATTTTATTTTTGTACAATATTTTCAAAATTACGAAAAAATGCTACATATAACTTTTGAAAGAATTTGATAAGTTAATAAAGGAGAAAAAATAAATAAAAATGCAGAAAAACCTGCGTTCCTACAGACTGTAGCGCCTAAACGAATGTACCGATTTCAATGAAACTTCGTTAAAGTCATTTTCTCGATAACCTTTAAATCTATCTATATAACATACTTCAACGAAAAGAAGCTGGAAAAAAAGTTACGAGGGATGTTAAAATCGAATTCCGAATAACTCAAAAAGTACAAATTAGTATGCAGTATTGTACGATTTTTTAAAAGTTTATGGAATTTCATAAAAAAACAAAAAAAAAATGTTAAAATCGGACAATTAGGAGGAAAGATATGGTCTCTAGTTTTTTCCCTGAAGAGGTGAAAATTTGAATAAATTTAAAATATATTTTTTTAATTGTTGAGACTAAAAAAACCTTTTTTCTACAGATATTTAATAAAGTGTCTTTTCTAAGAACATCTTTCATAAGAAAGTAGTACCTAAATTTATACCTTTATTCTCAGTTCTATATTTCAACATTGCAATGACCACCTCTGGAATCAACTTACTCATTGTCTGCATAGATAACTTTTTCAACTAAAAATATCACTAAAATGACATCACTCAAAAATGTTGGAAATTTTAGTTAGTCATTCTGTGGTTTATAAAAGCAAAGAAAGTTGTGTGGTTTATAAAAGCAGATAGAGTGAATAGATTTTTAGATATATGTTCAGTTAATTACAAAAGACTTATATACATGACTACAGTAAGACCTATTTGGACTTACGGAGTTGAGCTTTGGGGCTCCTCTAAGCCATCGAATTCCTCTCGTATCCAATCCTTACAATCCAAAATCCTTCGGAAAATCCTCAATGCTCCTTACTTTGTCACCAATAAAATAATCCATAATGACCTTACTGTTCCTTATGTTTCCGATTTGGCCCAATCCAGATACCAATCCTTCCATAATAAACTTTAGAACCATCCGAATCCTCTCGTCTCTAACCTTGCTTCCTCTTCTATTCCTGATAACCCTCCGAGGCGTCTGAAAAGAAGATGGCTTCGAGATCTCTTATTGTAAATACATTTTGTTTTTAGAGTGCTACCAGCGGGTAGTTTCTCAACAAGTCATTTCATGTTATTATTTTCTGTTATCAAATTTACTTAATGTATTTAATTTTTTAATACAGTTGTAAATATCATGAATAAATAAAAAAAAAAAGATATATGTTCGAATATCTTCAAGAATCACTGCACCTAGATACAATTAAAGGAATTGCATATTTTTTATATTTGATGATAATGCGTATTTGATAGTTTGAATCAAGTATTAAAAAAAATGAATATGGCAATTCAGTTTACAATTATAGTCTCATTTTCAATCAACAACTAAGAAATGAATCTCCAGTTATT